GATTTACATGTCTCAGATGAAGACGGTATGATGATCCTGATAATGACCTTGATTTCGATGGTCATGCAAGCCTGAATCCCCAACCGAAAGCCCCATAAACCCCAAGGCTTTAAACCCGAAACGGAAGGTATGCACCATCCATCAAAAATCATGTCATGTCAACGACCCCAAGCCTTCAACTCCCATCCCTACGCCTCAAAACGCTACGCCTTAAAAGCTTACACCTTGAATCCTCAACCACCTGAAAGGAGCACCGTACTCCCGATCCTACAGAAAATGGTCCACGACTCCTCGGCGCAGAAATCGGCCGGCTGCGTCCTCGGCTTTTTGCTCCTAAGGCGATTCGTCCGAGGCTTCCTTGGACCGCCTCGGGTCACAAGAGCACCACTAATTATATACCCATTATATAGCCCATTATAGGGTAGGGGTCGCCATTAAGGGTCCCTCCTTTTGCCCTTTGATCATATTATTCTATATACAAGAGCCCGTATAGTATCTGATCTGAACCCTAAACCCTACAAGCCAGAAGCCCTACACCCTACAAGCCCTAAACCCTGTAAACCCTAAGCCGCATAAACGCTGTAGGCTTTGAGCCCTATAGTAACCCTAAGCCCTAGTGAATGGCGACGCTGAGGACAGGGCCGGGCTGCCAAGTCTACTTCAGGTCCGCGGGCTTTAGGGCTTATAGGATGTATCGGGTATACGAGTTTAGGGTTTGGGAGGTTGAGGGGTTCAGGGGGCTTAGGGGTTTAGGGTTTAGGTATCACGTATGTTTAGATTCGAGCCTTGTGAGCTTGGTGTTTAGGGGTTAGGGGTTTAGGGATTCGGTTCTAATTTAAGTTTTTGGGTTGGGGGTGGAGGGTTTGCAGCCGGGTAGGTGCTTTAGATCAGCAAGCTTCATGTTCCGGGTGTACAAAAATCTCGTACGCCACCGTTGCATTGCAGCGAAGACAGGCGGCGCCGTGCGAATTGCTGTCATCGGCGTGATGATGCAGTGTGTGAGGCAGGAAGTTTGGAGCGTCCGTCGGTGTTTTTGTCTGTGCAGCAGTTTCGGCATTCGGGCATAGCGATCACGTCGCAACATGGTGTGCACCTGATCCACAAAGCCATCCCAGGGTTGTTGAAACGGCCGTTTGCTGTGCGTTTCGTCGAACGAAAGCCGGAGAGCTCTCAACCCGCATCGGCAGATCGAAATCCTGGAGCCATGCAGTCCTCAAAGCAGCACTTGTTACGAATAAGAATAGACAATAAGAGTCAGAGTAATGACACTAAGCGTGTGACTAGAGCTTCAAGCAACAGGCAGCAAAGTGTCGACCGTGTGCCAGACATGCGAACTTTGACTCTGGCTATGTCCAAGCAATCATGACCCGGTATGGTCAGGGATTAGGGTGTACGGGGAATGCTCCAAGCTCCGGAACTTTGCCATCCTCTAGAGACTTATAAATTCACAAGGAGCCAGCTATCAAACCTGAATCCTAAAACTCTGAAGCGCTAGATTTAAATCCCGAAGCCCCAATCACCAAAACCCCAAGCCCTACGTGCCTCGACCTTGAGCTCTGATATCCGACACCCCTTGTAACACCAAATCAGACTACATCCGCAAACCCGGCGCCCTAACCCTGACACCTCACAGCTCTACGCCGGGAATTTCTAAACTCCCAAAGCACGATTCATATCTCAAACAATGAGGTGTTGAGTGCCAGCATCGTGGTTAATATGGTCCTAGAAGTGCGGTACTTCGGATCTACTTCTACCCTTCGGGAGTCTCAACCCCGACCCCTTTGGCAGTGTTCCCTCAAGACCCGCATGCAACGAGGCATCTGCCGGCAACAGACTTTGCGTCGGAGTTGCCCAGAATCTTCGGATTGGTTGCAACCGCCTGAGAGATCCCTGAACATACTTTGGGCTTAAGGTTCAGAGTTCATGGGTTAGGGGTGTATAGTTGCGAGTTTCGGTGTTCTGTTTTCTGTCTCCAGGGTGTTGGGTTCTATTGCGGAGTTGAAGACCCGTCTTCGGAACAGGCCGGTGTTTTGCTCGTGCTCGGCTTGTACTATAGAGCTGTTGGGTGAATCATGGAGATGTTCGGGGGAGGGGGGAGCCAGAGTGGAATCGGTTAGGTGGAGATGCCTGCTTGCAGGGCGTCGAGGGTTTCTTGGGGGTCCAGTGTTCAAACCCGCGCGACACCGAGGCTAATGAGGTCCAAGTGCCTCTAGTGAGGGCTTAGCGAGGGTTTAGGGTTTAAGGTTATACGCTCTAAACTTCTGCACATCCCCCTTTTCCATGGATGCATGAAAGCACGCAGCAAACTCGCATGCACCGGTTCTGACGGCATCAAGGGCCTGTAAAGCGCTCGCCAAGTTCCGAGCTCTTGCTTGGCACTTGCGATTCACTTGCAGAGCCCGCTCGGGCTCCCCGCGCCACCTGAACCCCCCCCCTAACATCTCCATGGGTGAATGGTTGGCAGTCACAGAGGCTCACCATTTTACTATGTCCTTTCTGTCTGCGCGACTAGCCGTCACGCTTGGGAGATGGAGCATGGGATGTACATGGAGTTTCAGAAACCATACGATCTCGGTCGAGACCCTGAGCATTAGGATCCTTGTAAGAAGCCCCAGAGCAATAACAACAGTAATGATAAGAAGGTCTAGAAGAGGAATAATACGTAGGGTAACAATATTGTCAGGAATACTTAGAGCAATCATAACTTTAATCATAGCAATGAAAGTAACAATCATAACAATAACAATATTAAGGTGGTCGTACGACGAAACCGTCATTGCCACGTGTTTTCAAGGATGTTATAGTGTCAATCGGGTGGCATCGTGAGCTCCAGCAGAAAAGAAAATGCAAGTCAAACCCTGAGAAACATGCGGTAACAGCCAGACCCACGTGAGCGGTTGCTCAGGATGGCCGCAAAACCATGCTTTAACGCTTTTCTAGGGGCCAGAATAATGACCTGTCCCTCTCAGAAAAAAATGCGTAGTAGAGTGGCGCCAGAACCCTGTTCTAATTATTCAAGCCCCTGTATTACAGTCTCCAAGACACATCAAAGACCCCTAAACACTGTAAAGAAAACCTTGCAAACTAAACCCTAAACCCTAAATCCACGGGATTAGCGCCACGCTGAGGCGACGGGGCTCCGAAATCGTGATGCTGAAATCCGACGAGTCGGACACCAATTGCATCGAGGAAAGTAGGGTGTGGGCGTTTAAGCTTTAGGGGTTCACAGATTAAGTCCGCGACGCGGGTTGCGTCTATCTTGTTTATTGGGAGTTGCGGGGTTACTGTCTTCTCCCCTTCTGGACCAGCTCAGGAGAAGTATTGAGATTTCTCTATGTTGAAGCCTCTAAAGCCCGGGAGACGTATTCCATGTGCACATCAGGTGAATAAGCACATTCATGAGGTGTACATGTAAGTATATATATATATACATATATATATATATACATACATACATATATATATATATACATACATACATATATATATATATATATATACACATTATGATAGAGAGAGCGAGCGAGACACGGAGAGGGTGCGTCTGTGTGTACATACACATACTGTAAGAAAATGCAGATGGTGTTTACACATGCATGTGCAGACTTACGCGCGTTCGGACACACAAGCACATACAGAGGATGATTGTACGTCAAAATTATGAGCATCTAGACGCACATCAGATACTCGGAACAATAAGTGGGCCATTCCTCACCCTAAGCCCGAAAGCCACCAAGTAAAATCGTGTCGTCCGAAACCACTATATAACGTCGATTGGTCAGGTGCAGGGCTCGAACTTCAGACGCCTTGTCGTGCGTTTTTGCTTCGAGATTTCCAATTTGAGATTTGCCGCGCGGAGGCTGCATCGCGACCCCATAGATACAATGATAGAATACACTGTGTCATACGGATTGGGTGTTTAAAGTTTAAGGGGCTTTATGTTTAGGTTCTGCCCTCCTACTACGCAAACGCCTGTATGCGCATGAATACTTAACGACATAAATAAATGAGTCAATCCTTATAATATGCATGGAATATATATATATATATAGATATACACATATATACAGTTACAAGTAGGTGTATACTATATAAATATACAGAAGCATACCTACATACATGCATATGTATACATATGTGTGTATATATATACACATATGTATAAGTGTGTGTGTGTGTGTAAAAATCAAAAAAACGACAAGCTACGCGGAATGTTGCATCACTAGTGACACATATGTAGATATATAAGTAGATAGATTCATGCGCTTTCAACCCACGAGGTCTCGCGGCAGGCGCTGCAAACTATGGCTACAGCACTGGGCTGGGGCCTGAGCTGTGGTTCTGACTCCACGAATACGGATTTGTGTAGTGAATCAGGTGCTTAGGGTTTAGGGTTGAGGATTTATTTCGGGTATCTTCGAGCTGGTTTCGGCTGAGACCCAGGAACAAAGCTGCCTCTTCCACAATCTTAGGCTGCGGAAGTTGGACTTCCATATGCGTGTGTACATGTATATATCTGCATAAACATATATATATATATATACAGACAGAGAGAGAGAGAGAGAGTGCAGTAGAGAGAGAGTACAGTTAATCCCATATATATATATATATACATACATATGTATATATGTATATGTATATATATATATAGATATATATGTGTATGTACGAATCTGTAGATATGTGGTGTGTTTAAAGTTTATTAAAGAGATACAGATACTTCGGATAACTCGCTTAATGCTACATGTGTATATATATATATATATATATATGTATGTATGTATGTATGTATGTATGTATGTATGTATGTATGTATGTATGTATGTGTATATGTATTTATGCATGCGTGGGGTGTGTACGTATATACATATATGTTTCCGTGTGAACCTTAATGTCGTCATTTATTTCTCGACTCACGCATTTCTTAACCTGCGCATCTATGCACGATGCATATGTGTACGAATACCTAGCAGATTCGCACGTGCAGTGCCCGGTTTTCCATGCCGCCGACTGCGACTGTACTGGGACATCCCGAAGCCCTTGACAATGACTTCGACGAGATCGAGGTGTCGGTGCCGTCGGAAAGGTCCAGCTCTTTATCAGACCAGGACGGAGGGGAACGTCTGACCCACCCAGACTCTCCAGAGTGGATAGCTGGCATTGCTGACATCATCTCAAGAATGGAGCCCGTGAGGCCCGATGTCGTCCGGGCAACTCGTGTCCAGAATGTACTTCACAAGCTGGGCAGGCCGCTGAGACCAGGCTTTTTCTGGAGTACAGCCTTTTATTGTCTCTGGGTTCCTATGATAACACAACTATCCCATAGAGATATATGATGGTTTCCCGTGGGTTCCTGAACAGCCCAGGAGAACTCGTGGTGATTTCTATCATCTGAGCCAGACCGCAACTCGTTTGCACGCATTCTGGTCCCACAGCTGGCACGGTTCTGTTTCAGGAAAAGTTGCCACTTTGTTCTTCCTCAACAAAGCCGGGGCAGCCGCCGTAGCAGGCACAGGAGCAGCAGTTGCTGCGTGCCTCGCTTATGGATTCGGTGTGCTTCCCGACGATCACGGGAACAGCTGGTGGTGCTTGAGCGCTGGATGCCTCGCGTATTTGCTGACAATGCTACTTTGGCGGCCCCGGCAATTGGTGTTTGTCGACCGTGTCTGCATCTCTCAGTTGAATCCTGAACTCCAAGCACAGGGCACCCTCAGCTTAGGGGCCATACTTAAATGCTCCGATACCATGCTGGTGCTTTGGGATCCAACTTGGGCTCGCCGCCTATGGTGTGTGTACGAGCTTGCCGCCTTCATTCGCAGCAGGCCCCCAGGCGAGAAGCCATGCGTCATCATCCGACCGACCCTGCTGGGATTACTCATGTTTGCATGCTGGTTTGCGTCTGCACTTGGAGGTTTCGCCTTCCACTTCGTTAACTACACCCTTAGCATAATTTTTGGTATGTATTTGGGGATTGCTTGCTGTGGATTGATTTTCTGGTACATTGCGCACCTCGCCCGTGAGTACTGCCGTGATGTGACCACGATGTGCCAGCATATGGCACACTTCCGTGTTGCAACGGCTGAAAGCTTCTGCTGCTCTGTAGAGCACAGAAATCCCCGTAGCAAAGAGCCTATGATGTGCGACCGAGAGGTGATGCAGAGATGCATCAACATTTGGTTTGGTGGCATCGAAGCTTTTGAACAGCAAGTCCAAGGCGACTTATACAACTTGCTGGTGGATCAGCTTTCCAATCACATGGTGTCATACTGGCGTTTAGCCGAGGCTTCTCCGGTATTCCTTTGGTTTCATCTTGACATTGCGGCTAACCAGCTGTGGCATTTTAAGGCAACCTATCAGCTTCTCTTGGGCCTGTCTTACTGGCTCGGGCTGGTTCCCATCCTCGTCCGCGTCATGTTTCGCCTGGCATGGGCTATGCAGACAAAGTGTGCCTGGCGACTGCTGGACTATGTTAAGTCCTTGCTCCTCCTACTGCCAGGGGTCTTCATCTTCGGTGCCTTCCTCTTTCTCCATTCCTTCCTTTCCGGGCACCTTCCACATGATTTAGGTTCCGTCGGCATCTCACTTATAACGATTCCTCTCGCAGCCTTGGTTTGGCGAAACCTGCCAGTACCTTTGCCGCACCACAGCGTGAGATTGCCAAGAGAGCCGCAAGCTCAGCCTGAAAAACTTGCACCAGCAGTTACGCTTCACAAGCGCAGGAGAGAGTGGAGGGAACCTTGAACAATGCCCTAAACCCCAGACCCCTATAATCCCTAAACTTCCCTAAACCCCTAAACCCCAGACCCCTATAGTCCCTCAACTTCCCTAAGCCCTAGGCCGCAGACTCCAAGCCCCTCGCCCTCAAACCTTGAGGCTTCCAAAAGACTCCAATATCCCTTAATTAGGGACTATTTTCTTATTACAAAATTAGGGATCCTACTATAATTTGGGGTATATCCCTTCATTAGGGAATATTTTCTTAAATCATATTAGGGATCCTGCTATAATCTAGGGTATACTCCTGAATTAAGGGATATTGGAGTCTCTGGGTTTGTTGGGTTTTTGGCTGGGTCTCTACAGAAAGGTGGACTGGATTGCTGGAGGTCCCAGGTTCAAATTTGTGCCTCAGATGTCAAAGAAGAAACCTCACTGTAGCCCTGATCCTTCCTAAGATCCCTCGCCATACGTACCCTTAAAACCAAAACTCAAAGAGCCATAAGAAGCCCTTAAACGAGCCCTCCTGAATAGCTCCCTCAACCCTAATTAGATCCAAACCTTAAACCAAAGCCAGTCTAATGAGCTTTTGGGAACGTGCAGAATGTTTGGGGTGTGAGGGCGATTCGGGCTGTTGGGGCTTTGCTGTTTTCAGGGCTGAAGGTCTATCCACCCCGCATTTCACTAAACTTTTGTCAGAGCTCAGGGTTGGAGGTTTGCAGTAGCAACATGGCGAAGCAAATGGCATTTTGGAGTGAAATCGAAAAAACCACACGGACGTTTGTGGGTCTTTGGGGCTTTATGTGTGGTTTTGCACTCACACAGTCCCGGGAGCTGGCTTTCGTGCAAGGTTGCTTGGCTGTAATCAAGAAAGTCGAATTTACCTGTATGATATGAAGAAACTCGTTGACGAGTTCCTCCGCTGCAATACTCTTACCTAGCCGTCCGGCCCATTGCGATGGCTCTTGAGTGTGTAGGGCTGGTTTCGAGGGAGTTCGGTCGTATGAGAGGTGCGGGGAGGTGGGATGTTTGTTGGTTTGGAAGTTCCGAAGCGTATGTCGTATGTGATGTGAAGACTATTCGTGTTTAGTGGCAGCTGACGGTGATACCATCGCTGAATCGATTGCCGCGCAAAGTGATGGGTAATGTGGAGAACGATCTTTCAGGACGTTGTTGGAAGCATGCTCTCGTTGCAGAGGGTTTGGGTAGGGATTCGGATGCCCCACCCCACCCACTTGATTGTAGTAAATCGTACTCGTAGTACCCCTTGTAGTCACTATTGGTGGGTGAGGGTCTCCGCCTAAAGTGTCCAAAGCTTAAGTGCTGAACTGCACGGCCTCAGAAAAGAAGCTTGCAATATTTACCAATAATCTTGCTTAGGGCTCCCTTTATGATTATCCCTCAAAGCCCTATTCGGCCGTACAATTTGCTCCTCAGCTGGTCACGCCAGGAACTGAAGTTGAGGCCGTCAAGTTCGGGACCTAAACCCCCGAGATGCCCCAAAACCAACCTTCAACCACGCGCCTTCAAAAGACCGTCTACTTGGAGGGTCGGGGGACTTAGTAACTGGTTATTTTAGGGACTTATAAGTACCATAACCCCAATTAGGATCCCTTTTAGGGTACTTATAAGTCTACTTACTACCTACTTACTAAGTCCCCCGACGCTCCAAGTAGACATGAAGGATCTCACAGTTAGGGGGCACCCTTCTACCCCAACACTAGGATCCTCATGTTCAAGTTCTCATCTGGGCCCCTCATAAAAAAGAAAACCCTAAGCTGCTGCATAAGCCCTAAACCTCTGAACCCCAAAGCCCTAAACCAGAAACCCCCGAAACCCTAAACCCTAAACCCCTGAACCCTAAACCCGAAACCCTAAACTAAGTGCTCCAGGTCCCAAGTGGCTGCCGTGGCTGGTGCGAGAGTTGCGAACTCGGCTCGTCTTGATCTCGGAATGAACAAGCGTGTGATGGCGTAGTATAGGGGCCTTAATAATCTAGGTAGGATTGTGGGGCATTTTTATTTTCCTTATTTGGGTTTATAAGGGACCCTATATGTAAATATTTTTCAGGGTGTTTAAAGGCCAACCCAGTAATTACCTATACCATTTTTTTGGGGGGGCTCCTTATAATTTTAAGTATAGTGCAATGGGCACCAACACCTTATTCTAACTATGAAGGCCTCTGTAGTGATTGAGGCATTTCTGGCTTGCAGTGAGGGCTAGGATTAAACCTTAAATCCTCAACATGAAACCCTTAAAAACCTTAAAACGACGAATTTAGCAAACGGGCTTCATGCCGGAGCCTAAACCTTTAAACTGGAGTTTGTCACTTTTCCCCTGAACCCCAAACCCCATAACCCCTATTCCGACTTTGGGAACGGGATGTCTGGTGTTTTGCATAGAGTTGAGGATTTGGTCCCTAAACCCTAAACCCTAAACCCTAGTTTGGGGATATTAGAGTTTAGGGAAGTTCAGGCTCTAGGGCTCTCGGGGCTGCCGGGAGTCGTCCCACGCGGCCATGGGCTCAGCAACCGAACTCAGAGCTCCTGCAGTTCTCCGCTCTGTCTGTGTCTGTCTCTGTGTTTGTGTTCGTGTTGTGTGTTAGGGTTTGGGGTTTAGGTTTGGGCTCGTCCGCACTGCATGGATGGACATTCTGAGACAACACTCGACAACCATATAAGCACGATGGACAAGAGAAGCACACGCCTCAGCAATATGGCAATATGGATCGTGCCGACAACAGTGACGAAGAGTAGTTTTTGACGCAATACACTTGCGGACCACGTCATGCAACCACCCACAGCCTGATTAAATTAGACGCACAAGAAGCGTAACCCATTGCCAAGCTACCGGCTCCATCCTGTTTCTCCAGATTCTATGTCCCGACTGAGCAAATCCAAACTAACCCGCAGATCCTGCGGAGCACTCAGCCGAAACCAGTGAACCGTAAACTCTAAGCCCTGAACCCCACACCCTAAACTCTAAGCCCTAAATTCACACCGGGCCCTCTCTTTTTGTCACAACAAAAGATTCAACTGTTTCGAGGATCGGGGCTTTATGCTGCCGGTCCGCACCTCTGCGGTGCTGGCCGCCCTGCAGGCTGCAGGGTGGAGCTGTACTATGCTACTACTATTACTATAATTATCACTAGTTACTAGTACTAGTTACTTTTAACATTACTGTGACTGTTATTATTACTATTACTATTATAATTGTGACGAGAAATCCAAAGGGACAGCATTTCTGATTGTTCGGGCTTCTACTTGAAGTGTATGGGTTTACGGTCGTACACGGAGCTTAGTGTCCCCGGGTCGTGGGTATCCACGAGTTTGTGCGCCACAAGGCTCTGTTAGGACGAGGCTTTAACGCCCGCGGCGTCTGTCAGAAAGCCGCACTAAAACAGAAGCTTAATGCTTCCGGAGAAAGCTCTGCAAACATTGCAACATCCATAGGAATTACTACACCAGACTTCCTCTAGTATAGGCTACGTCAGGTCTTGCAGGATGCTGTGCCGCAGCAGTACCGTCGTATCTTCAGCACTTTCTGCCTCCTTTTGCAGGCATCGGTTTTCCAATCTTTGCTGGAGATTGTGCTCATGTTCCTAGTTCCCCATGATACCCGACAAGTAGGTGTTCACGTCGGAATATATCGTCCCTGCAAGGCCCTATTCTAGTGACTCAGGCCCTGTCTTGGGGATCGTGGAAGGTTGGGGTTTTGGGGTTCTCTGTTTATGCCATTCGGGTGGTGTCAAAACTAGCCAAAGCTAGCGTTCCTGTTGGGCTCCCAAACTATAGGGTGCCGTAAAAACAAAAGACCCTAAACCCGAAACCCTAAGACTAGTAGAATCAAAGAATAGTTCCCCAACGCATCTGCAGTAGCCCGTAAAGTACTCTTAAAGGAACCACCCGTGAAGGAACCTTTTCAACGATCAAATGCCTAAACCCGCCCACAAGATCTCTAAAGCCTACTCAAAACCTACATCCCTAAAAAGGGTCTAACATCCTAAAACCCCTCTCGCATTCTAAAAGGAGCCCTTGAACCCAGAGACTCCAATATCCCTTAATTAAGGAATATACCTTAAATTATAGTAGGATCCCTAATATGATTTAAGGAATATTCCCTAATTAAGGGATTTTGGAGTCTTTGGGAAGAGCTCCCCACCAGAATTTCAGGCCCTGGCAGCCCAGGGGCCTCCTCCTGGAGCCCTGGATGCTTCGCTTCAGGAGCTTCTCACCGAGGTGCTGGAAACTTATAGGTCTTCATATAGGGGCCCGTAAGGATTCGACATAGGGTTCCTTTAAAGGGTTCCTTTAAGGGGCTCTATGTAAGGGCTATTGTCAAGATTTAGTATAGGGGCCTTGATGATTAGAAATAAGGTTCCTTTACAGTGTTCCTTTAAAGGGCCCTATTTGTCAGGGCTACTATAAGGGCTATCAAGATTTAGTATAGGGGCCTTAAGAATTAGATAGGAGCTACTATAAGGGCTATTCTTGGAATGTGGTTCCCTTTGAAAGCGGTCGATGAGGGTTACGGGATACTACAAGGGCAGTATAGTATAAGCATCTTAGTAAATAGTATAGGGCTCAGGGGCCCATTTTCCAATAGTTGTAATATAAGCTTGTGATGATGAGGGTTCGAAAGGGTCTACAGTCGTATTGTTGTTTTTTGTGGTTGGGCTGGGGCATCGTTTTACTCGTTTCTGTTTTGCATCAGCTCTTTGACTCTTCTTTCAAAAGCGCCAGCAGACCTTCAGATCCCCCAAAACAGGGCCCTCTAGCTTCATGGAGCCCTCATATCTTCGAACTTATGGAGAGTGCATCTGTCTCACTGCATTGCCGTAATAACCTGCTTGAGAAACCTCGGGTCCTTATCAGTGCTCTTGATACGGATGCTAATATTATGGGGTGATAGGACCAGGGTTTTAATTAATTAATCAGGTTCCTAGACATCCGGAATGCTCAAACCCAAAGCTCCAAACCCTAGAGTAGACATTGCATTCGCTCTTGTGCAGCAAGAAATGCAGTGCGGAATCACCCCAGTCTCTCATGGCTGCTACTTCGCAAAGCCCAACCGAATAGCATCAACAGTGCTAGTCATGGAGGCCTGTAGTCCATTTCCTATACCCCAGAGCCCCCATAAAGCTTTGATCCCGGAAACTTAAACAAGAATCCTTAATGCGAGGAGTGTAAAATCGCAATCCCACGGTTGAGGATTTCGGCCGTTTAAGCCCCATGAAACCTTAGGGGTACTTAGAAATATGTTTTTAGTTTTAGGTTATTATAATCCCTAAGAAACAGCTACAATTATAATTTGTGCTAGGGTTCTAAGTTCAGTATAGAAACCTCCAGACCTTCAACTGAACACAGGCCATGCTGGAGCTGGATCGCCAGATGGACGCATCCAAAGAGGTCGCTTGGCCCACGCCTTCAAGTCCTCAGAAACTGGGATGAGAGTCTGTGGATTAAAGTGGCTAGGGCTTCAGTTTAGGATTTAAGGGTGGTATCCCTTCTATATAGGGACTCTGATAAATGGCGTTCCCCTCACCTGCCTTCATGCCTCCTTGATCAGCAAATGCTTTGCTGAAGTCTGCCCAAGAGGCTCAGCAGAAAGCAAGGTTCTGAGAAAGCCTTCAAGAAGAAACAAAACCCCTAAACTTGGCTGGGACAAGCCTGGAAGGAATTGGGAAACGTAGCATTGCTGGCAGTGGAGATGACAAATTGCGACTCACGGTCATGTGTCGAAACTTTTTCGCGAAGTGGCGTACCTTCGGCTAGCACCACCACCCCAACCTCAAACCCTCAACGCCATAAATTCTATGCCCTTCCACCCTGAGCCATCAATCATCAAAGCCTACACTTGCAAACTCCACGCCCTCCAGCCCATAGCCTTTCCACAAACCCTTCGACCTTGACCCCAAAAGCTTTCACCCCCCAAACCCCAATGCAACCGTAGAAGTTCATAAATAAGACTTTAGTCTTCTTGTGGAAAAACCCATTACTACAGGGTCCTATCAGTTAGAGTGTGGTTTTGGGGCCCATTATACTATAAATATAGTAAGGAGCCTTGAGAATCGTGTAGCAATAGCTAACTTATTTGGGCCCCTATATTAAACTGTTATGAAAACACCAGACAGGAGATGGAGGAAGATGCCATGGCTCGTCGGATCCTTGTTTGAAACCGCCGCTGCACGAGGTACTTGGGGCCGTAAAGATTACCAATAACGTTTTGGGGGGTTCCTTATTATAATGGTAGTACACTGGGCGACAAAAACATTCTTCTAGTTATTAAGGCCCCTATAGCGGGTTTTGGGGTTCACTACAATCGCTTCAGCATCGGGTTACGGGCTCCTTTAAAGGAGCTACGGGTTCTTTAGGATTTATAAGATGTTGGCCATACTGATGGGGACTCTTGGGTGTAATATAGGGACCCTGACAGTTCGAAGAGGCTGTTGGGGTGTATTGCAGAAGGGAATTACTGCAGCCCCTTGCTTGTACTATCGGGGTTGGGCTCGCTTGAAATCCCCAGCTCTGGTTTAGGGGCTTGGACCTGCTCTTGTAGACCGTAGGGTTGTGCAGTTCAGATTAGGGTTGAGGGCTCACCCAGGTTTCTGAAAGATTAGAGCGTCAGCCCGCAGCAAAGAGAGTCCCCTTGTGTGCAAGCTCCTGGACCCATCCCAAAGGCATCCCGAACGCCCTTACGAGCCTTTCGACACCCAGTCTACACCTTAAGATACTTGACATGGAAGGGTCTCTTCGGCTATGCGGATTCGGCTAGCTTTCGAGAGCTTTGGAGGTTCCTGAACCCTTGAAAGCCTGAAACCTCTGTACCTTTTTTACCCTTACCCTTAAACTCTAGGTTTGAACCATGAACTGCCAACCCTACGAGGGTTTAGGGTCGGACCAGCCCGGCTGAATAGGTATCTTTGGTTAGTCCTCCTCGTACCCGTACCCAAGTTCTATATTCGGATTCCATAGGACCCTAAATGAGGTACTCCTAATTTTCGGAAACTTCCAAATAAACTACGAGCCATGGATCTCGAAAAGCTCCCCGGGGCTTGGACTTCGCTTGGGTGGGGACATGATGTGCAAGCAGGAACCCCTAAACCCTACACCCCCCCTCAACAAAAAAACGCACGCACACACACACACACACACACAAAACATTAGGGGTTGGAAAAAAAAACTAAACCCGATCCACAGTTGGCCCCAAAGTCTGGGGAAGCCTCAGTTGGGCTCCTTGCTTCAACCTCAGAGCCTTGCAGAGCAGAAAGACCGTCAGGGCCGGCGGTGTAGGGCTTTCTATAAGAGACCTCAATAGTTACCAGTACTATTCTTGGGAGTTCCCTACTATGAGTATATTATAAGATACCCCAAACCAATACTATTATTGGGGTTCCTTGTTATGATGATAGTATAAGATACCCCCAAACCCTAGTCTTATTACTAAGGCCCCTATATAAAGGGATTCTTAACACGTCCGAAACCTTGAACCCGAAAAGGCTCGAAGTCCCAAGCCGGGACTGAACCCTGAAATGTGGGTTGAGTATGGAGGTGTTCTTCCGTCCTGAACGTCCCGACCCTGCAACGGTCCAAGTAACCTTCATGCCAAGGCCCTGAAACCCTGAACCCCTAAACCCCTGCCAATCCCTAACCCTAAAACCATATACCCTAAAACTTCAAAAATCCTAGACCTAAAACCCTAAACCCGAAAACCCTATACCCTCAAACCCTATACCCTGAACCCTAAACCCTAAAATCCCATACCCAAAACCCTAAACCCTAAAGTCCCAAAATCCTCCTGAAACACTTTGGCCCCAATTCTCCAACTTCCGAGGCTCGCACGTCCCGGAGGCGAAGCGGCCCAAGGCTGGCGTCAGCAATTGGGTGGTTGTCAAAATTATGGTCCCTTTTTGGGTCCCTCATTAGGTACGGCACCTAATATTTAGGGTACCCAAAAGGGACTTTAATTTTGACCACCCAATTGTTGGAGTTTTCTTGAGGGCTTTTGGGGGCCTCTGTTTAGGGTCGTTTTGGGGTTTAGGGTGGGGGTCTCTTTTGAGGGTTTTAGAGGTAGGATTGAGTGCATTTTTGTTGAGGGGGGTGGTTTCTTTCAAAGGGATCTCCAAGAATGAGTATGTTGCGACGTTGTAAGGGGAAGGGAGGGTCACTGCGGGCTTACATCACTGCGGGCTTACATCCTTCCGCAAGGCCTCTTGGGACTCATTTTTTAGGTCGTTGGCACTGCAAACCGCACAAGGCTGGCTTTCGGGCTAGCTTGAGTCTTGTTCTAGGTAATCATGGATTTGCCCGCAGACCCAGCGTACTGCGCACTCCAGGGGGTTCGGACTGCCTCTTGTTTTTGTTTTGAGGTTTTCAGGTTGCGGAGGTCCGAAGTTGAAAGGGCCTACGGCATTTTGGGCTCCAGCCCTTTCATCCTTCCCTAAAGCAGGGTGTGCAGGAAGCCTCGCTTGCGTTCGTCGAATTTCGGTTGGAAGCGAACGTCCCCACGACGCGATTGGTCTACTCTGCTCAGAGAAGAGAGCATCCATGGCCCAACCATGATGCCGTCCATGGTCTAATCCGTTCTGAAAAGAGGGCATCCATAGATCCGTGGTCAAAGCATGCTGACGTTCGCTCTCATACCAGAGCATCCATGGCTCAACCATAATGACGTCCATGGTCTAATCCGGTCTGAGAAGAGAGCATCCATGGCCCAGACCTGATGACGTCCTTAGGCTAATAATCCGTTCTGAAAAGAGAGAGAATCCATTGCGCAGCCATGATCACATCCACGGTTTCATGCGTTGTGAGAGGTTTTCGCTCATGCTGCCGCATATCTTGCCCATCCCTGGAAGACTGCCGTACTCTAAACCATGCGAGCCTTCAAAAAATGTGTTTGTTTTTTCCCCTTATTTATTGTCTAATATCGAGCCCTACTGTTACAGAATTTTGGGAACTGTTGAAATCGCCACCTCGTATAATTACCATAGCAGTCATCATGGTCTGGGGCTTGAGCGCTTCCTTTAGGCCATGAAACCCTCAAGCCTATGTTTGGTTTGGTTTAAAACACCGCCGCTGGTCTTCTGGCGAACCCCCAAGCCTACATTGCAATAAGAAGATTTCCTTATAGTCTTGATAATCATACCTATGCTAGAATATACACCAAGAGCCCAAGGCTTTGTTCTAAATATGATTCCAGTAATATCCCTTTATGGTCACTTTATCAAGTTCTACACTAACCTATACCATCAAAGTGGGCTCTTATGCAAGACCCTACAACCCTTTCTAAAAAAGCAATCATAACCCAGAGGGCCCATATATGCTACAATGATATAGATTGTTTATTTAGGCCCCAAAAGAAAATCCTTGCTCTTAGGATGATAAGTGGTACATATGGATGGTTGTCAAAATTATGGTCCTATTATAATACGGCACCTGTTATTTAGGGTACCCAAAAAGGGACCTTAATGTTGACAACTATCCATGTGGACCCTCGTGGTAATGAAACTTTGACGAAAAGGCACCTGAGCTCATGCTCTCAGCCGGGCAGTTCTGCTCTCACGGCAAGGTGGGATGCAGAGTTAAACTTAAACCTACATTGAAAAAACCCTAAACCTTATCCCTATAAGCCCCAGAGTGTTTTAAGCTTACGGCCTCAGTGGGTTTGGCATAAGCCCGCGGTACACTGGGATCCTCTTCTTTCTGTGTCGTAGCTCTTAATATGCATATCCCACAATCCAGCGGTCCAAGGAGGCTATGCGAGGGATCATTGTAGAGATAGCGTTGCTCCATTAGTCTATTTGCATTATGGGCTCACGGGTCAAAGGACGCTCTAGCACAAGGTTAGGGGGTTCGACGAGAGGAAAAGGACTGGCTAGGTGTGTGGCCTTCGATTCAGCTCTGCGAATCACTCGGACACCCTCAAACAAAGCCCAGGAACTTGAACTCTTGAGCATACCTAAGGCTACCCAGTAGCACGAACCTAAGTCGGGCAGTCATGGATACCATAGCACCCATGTCGGGCCCTTCTCCTCAGTACTGGTGCGCTTTGAGTCTATGATTCTATGATTGGTGTTGTTCAAAAGTAATGAAAGGCTTCTTTGTTTCGTCTTTTGTTCTCTGCATTCTTGACACTGTACATCTAATGGTTGGGTTTTTCGGTGGGTTTGACATCATTAAGCTAGGAAATGCATGGAAATACACTAAACACGTCACTGGACACATTCGTGCCTCGTAGTCTAGGCCAGGACCCAGGAACATAGCTGCCACTCCAACAAATTTCGGCTCCAACGAAGTTGGACTTCAACGTGCGTGTTCGTGTTATACGTATACGTATGAATATATATATATATATATATATATATATATACATATAGATGTTACAAATACACATGCATATGCAACTGTAAAGGCATACATACATACATGCGTTCATTTGTTGGTAGATGTGTTGAGTCGTGTCCATTATGTCTCTATACTCATTGGTTAAGTTGCATTCCATGCACCGATGAAGCTGTGTGCTAATACATAGCCGTTCGGACATGCGTCAGCGCCCGGTTTTCCATGCTGCCCACTGTGACTGTATTGGGACATCCCGAAGCCCTTGACAATGACTTCGTCGACGTCGAGGTGTCTGTGGCGTCGGAACGGTCCAGCTCTTTATCAGACCAGGACGGAGGGGAAAGTCTGACCCAGGCAGACTCTCCAGAGTGGATAGCTGGCATTGCTGACATCATCTCAAATATGGAGGCCGTGTGGCCGGATGTCGTGCGGGCCACTCGTGTCCCGAACGTACTTCACGGGCTGGCCAGGCCCCTGAGACTAGGTCCAGGTGCTTCAGTGGTATAAAATGTTTCTTTTTGCTTCTGGGTTCTTATGACAACACAACGATGGCAGAAAAGTACATGCTGTTGCGTGGTGGGTTACTGAGTGGCATAGCCTAGGAGAGCTCGTGGTGATTTCTATCACCTGAGCCAGCCTACAACTCGTTTGCATGCATTTTGGTCCCACAGCTGGCACGGTTCTGTTTCAGGAAAAGTTGCCACGTTGTTCTTCCTCAACAAAGCCAGGGCAGCCGCAGTGGCAGGCACAGGAGCAGCAGTTGCTGCGTGCATCGCTTATGGATTTGGTGTTCTTCCCGATGATCAAGGGAACAGCTGGTGGTGCTTGAGCGCCGGATGCCTTGCGTACTTGCTGACAATGCTACTCTGGCGGCCCCGGCAGCTGGTGTTTGTCGACCGTGTCTGCATCTCTCAAGTGAATCCTGAACTTGAAGCGCAGGGCACCCTCAGCTTGGGGGCCATACTTAAATGCTCCGATACGATGCTGGTACTTTGGGATCCAACTTGGGCCCGCCGCCTATGGTGTGTGTACGAGCTTGCCGCCTTCATTCGCAGCAGGCCCCCAGGCGAGAAGCCATGCGTCATCATCCGACCGACCCGGCTGGGACTCACCATGTCTGCATTCTGGTTTGCGTCTGCACTTGGAGGTTTCTCCTTCCACTTCGTGAACTACACCCTGAGCGTAAATATTGGCAATATGTTTTTGGGAACTGCTTGCTGTGGATTGATTTTCTGGTACATTGCGCACCTCGCCCGCGAGTACTGCCGTGATGTGACCACGATGTGCCAGCATATCGCACACTTTCGTGTTGCAACGGCTGAATGCTTTTGCTGCTCTGTAGAGCACAGAAATCCCCGTAGCACAGAGCCTATGATGTGCGACCGATAGGTGATGCAGAGTTGCATCAACATTTGGTTTGGTGGCATCGAAGCTTTTGAACAGCAAGTCCAAGGCGACTTATACAACTTGCTGGTGGATCAGCTTTCTAATCACATGGTGTCACACTGGCGTTTGGCAGAGGCCTCTCCCGTATTCTTCTGGTTCTTTTTTGACATGGCGGCAAATAACCTGAAGCATTTTATTCACGTGGCAGAGGAACTGTTTCCATGGGGAACCTTGCAGCTTCTCGCGGGCCTTTCTTACTGGCTAGGGGTGGTTCCGCTTCTCTTCCGCGTGATGTTTCGCCTGGCGTGGGCTATGCAGACAAAGTGTGCCTGGCGACTGCTGGATTATATCAAGTCTTTGCTCCTTCTACTGCCAGGGATCTTCATCTTCGGTGCCTTCCTCTTTCTCCATTCCTTCCTTTCCGGGCACCTTCCACATGATTTCGGTTCCCCCAGCTTCGCGCTCATAACGATGCCTCTCGCAGCGCTCGTCTGGCGAAGCCTGGCAGTACTTGTGCCGCGCCACAGCACGCGATTGGCAAGAGAGCCACATTCTGAGGCTTCGAACTTGCGCAGCAGTGAAGCTTCACAAGTTCGGGAGAGGGTGGGGGAAACGAAAACAGTAATCCCTGCCCGAAATCCCAGACCCTAAACCGCAAGCAGTCACCAAAAAGGCCTTCAAAGAAAACAAACACAAAAAACAGGCCGTAGATTCCAAGCTTCCTTCAAGCTTTCTGGGCTTTATGTTTGGTCTTTACAGAAAGGTGCCCAGCTTTGTGGAGGTTTAACTCCAGCACCGGATTGAAAGCTGTGCCTCAGACCTCAGGAAACGAGCCCGGCTTGGGGGTTAGGGGTTTAGGGTTTAGGGTAGCACTGAAACTGAATCCCAAGCCCAGACTCACCCCGGGTACCAATGCATGAACCTCAAAGAACCCTAAACCTACAAAACCCCAAACCCTGTCCCACTGCTGCTCCCTAAATCCAAACACGCAGGCCCCGAATGCTAGTCCCAGACAATCCTAATAGTCTCTGGCGGGTCACAACAACCCTGAAACTGCACCCCTAAACCCTAAACCCCCAAACCCTAAACCCCCAAACCCTAAACCCCTAAACCCTAAACCCCTAAACCCTAAACCCCCAAACCCGAACCCCTAAACCCTAAACCCCCCAAACCCTAAACCCCTAAACCCTAAACCCTAAACCCCCGAAACCCTAAACCCTAAACCCTAAACCCCCAAACCCGAAACCCCCAAACCCGAAACCCCGCAACCACAGGTGTTGGAGCTGATATGGGTCAGGGCCTCAGGGCGAATCTGCAAACGACGCTTCAAAGACATGTGCCCTCAGGGGTTGGGGGGTTTAGGGGTGTAGGGGTTTAGGGCTTTAGGGGTTTAGGGTTTAGGGTTTAGGGTTTAGGGGTTTAGGGTTTAGGGGTTTAGGGTTTAGGGTTTAGGGGTTTAGGGTTTAGGGGTTTAGGGTTTAGGGTTTAGGGTTTAGGCTTAGGGGTTAGGGGTTAGGGGCTTTAGGGGTTTAGGGTTAGGGTTTTAGGGTTTAGGGTTTAGGGGTTAGGGTTGGGGTTTAGGGTTTTAGGGTTAGGGGTTTCGGGTTTAGGGTTTAGGGTTAGGGGGGTTTAGGGGGTTTAGGGTTAGGGGTTTGGGGTTTAGGGGGGTTTAGGGGTTAGGGGTTTAGGGGTTTAGGGGTTTAGGGGTTTAGGGTTTAGGGTTTAGGGTTTAGGGTTTAGGGGTTTGGGGTTTAGGGGTTAGGGGTTTAGGGGTTTAGGGGTTTAGGGGTGTAGGGGTTTAGGGGTTTAGGGTTTAGGGTTTAGGGTTTAGGGTTTAGGGTTTAGGGGTTTGGGGGTTTAGGGGTTGCAGTTTAGGAGCATATGCTCCCACCATAGCTGGCGTGTTCTTGGTTTTAGGTTTGGTGAGGCACATTGTTCGGAAGTACAAAGTCTTGAAATGCAAGTAAAGGAGGGATCAATAGAACGACTACTCGTCAATACTACGACCGGTAGAATCACCGTCGGCAGCAGCCGCATCATGACCATTACATGTGCAGCGCAAGTAAGATTGTCAAACACACAGCTACAGCGTGGAGACCCGACGCCATAGCCCATTAAACCCTAAACCCTACCGGGTCATTGAAAGGAGAGGACTCCAACCCAACACTTTGGGCCCCAGGTCTCCGAACCCCTGAAGCTGCCAGCGCTCCACGATCCCATCACTTAATTTGTTTGCAGGTTCCCCTAAACACTACCCATAGGCCCATAGACCCCATAGTAGTGCTTTTTGGGGCTCATCTTTAGAATCCGATAAGGTAATCCCAAAAAGGACCTACTATGGGGCCTCCAGAATGTTGGAATATGGTTTCAGGGCAGGATACCTTATAATTTACCATAAAAGGTTTAGGATACTCATATTCCAACTTTCGGCTTTTACTTTATGGGGCCTATGGGTAAGCTCTCAAAACCCCAGAGTGAGGCCTTGGACCGGAAACTTCAAGGAGAGAGCTTGGAGGCGGATCGCATTGGGTTTAGGGGTTTAGGGGTGTGGTGTAGGGTTTTTTGGGGTTTAGTGGTTTTAGGGGTGTTAGGGTTTAGGGGTTTAGGGGTGTTAGGGTTTAGGGTTTATAGAGGTTTGGGGTTTAGGGTTTAGGGTTGGGGATCTCGTTTTCCGTCTTTGCCAGGTTATTCTGGATTCTTAGAAGGAATTCAAGAAGTGTAGTATATAGGGTAGAGCATGGGTAGTGTAGGTGGTTTTTAGAGTTTGACCGATGTAAGGCAAGGTAGGGTAGCATATTTACAACGGGAAGATGTAGTAAATACAAAGTTTTCACAATGTGAAAGGGTGGTATAAGGTTGACATATAACAAGAGGAACTGGGCGTCGGGGATGAAGGTGATGCAGAGGTTGAGGGATTCCGGGCCGAAGGTGGGATTCAGTTGGCATTCTGGATGAGCTTGCCTTGGCGGTGTTTTGAAGGTTCGGGGGCTTGGGGCTTTGTGGCTTTCGAGGGTTCTTGCGGGGATTTGGAGGTGTTGAGGCCTCGGATTTAGAGGTGTCGAGGCCTCAACTCCGCGACACGTTCCCCACGTGTCTGGCTCCGGCATGTCAGCGATTCTCAGCGTAGCCGACTGTCTGAGTCCAGCTGCATCTTGATCCATGGCTGCTGCTTTGGTTTCGACTGGACATCAAGCCGTTCGTCCGGCGTGAAGGGGCTTGTTTTCCGAGTTCGATCGGGATGGTCAGTTTCGTGACGACCGTCCGACAAGAGAGCCCAAACCTGTGTAAGGCTTGCCCTTTCCGGCAAAGCTCAAGCAAAGAATTGGAGTCCGAGCATAAAGGTTGCTGGATGGTTGCAAAAACAGCCCCAGGTCGGTCGCCTTTTCCTCGATGTTTTTGGTTATACCGAGCCCTGAACGATTCGTAGTATGAGAACCCCCCCAACCAAAATAATCCGGGCCCTATTCGTACCTCAAAAGGGATACTTGGATTCTTGGACCGGTTAACAACTGAAAGATGTTGGCTTTGTTTCGCGGGTCCGGTAAGCGATCCCAGAACTCTCAGAACGCTTCTACAACCTTCTACCCTGAAGCTCAAAGCTTCCTGGAGTGTTCGGCCTCATTCCCTTTCACGCGAAACCTTGAAGTCCCACATGGGTGGTTGTCAAAATTAGGGTCCCGTTTTGGGTCCATATTATAGTACGGCACCTAATATTTAGGGTACCCAAGAAGGGACCATAATTTTTACAACCACCCACATGCAAATTGCTGAGCCCGGAAACCCAAAGCTTCCATGTGGAGGCGGACAACACGGAATCTACAACTTCGTCCCTCGGCTGACTAACTGAAATCTAAGGTACCGGGCTTTGGGATTTGGGGTTTAGGTACTAGAACTCACATGACCCTTGGAAGAAGTACGGCTGGTTTCGTATATTCGAGTCATACGGAGATCGAATTTCGAGTCATACGGAGAAATTTGTGTTGATTTTGGATTTGGCCTAGAGAGAGACTGTCCTGAAACCCAAAACCGTCAAGCAGCTACGCTCCTCTGCCCGGAGGCTGTAAATCCTACAGCGGGAAGGCCTGTCTCCAACAAAGAACGCCTTCTCACAGCTTCCTTCAGTAGTATCCGGCTAAACCCTAAACCCTAAACCCTAAATTCAGGGGGTGAGGGATTCTCGGTGAGGAAGGGCTGACACCACCAACCCCGAACTCGGTCATCCCGAAGAGCCTTGACACTCTGGAACCCTACAGCCTTCATCCCCTCAATCCCTTTTTTGCAGCCTTATCTAAACCCTGAACTCCCCCTTAAACCTTAAACCCGAAACCCCGCCAGAAAACCCTGAAACCCTCAACCCTATAACCCCTAAACCCTAATTAAACCTAATTAAACCCTCCTTAAGGCAGTCCTAGCCTTAAAGGAACCCCAAAAAGAGCCCCTCTAAGGCGGCCCAGAAGCCTGGTCTTCCTACGCCGGGCCTGCGTCTCAGCACCTTTCCCTTGCTTTGGGGGACGCTTGGGGTTTGGGGTTTATAGGGTTTTCAGGGTTTTTTATGGTTTTTGAGGGGTTTAGGGTTAAAGGGGGGTTCAGGGGTTTAGGGGGGTTTAGGGGTTTAGGGGCTTTGGGTTTAGGGTTTCGGGGGGTTTAGGGGTTTTGGGTTTACGGGAGGGCTTCGGATTTAAGCATCTAGGGGCTTGGGGTTTGAGGCCTTGGGGTTCAGATATTTGGATTTAGCATTTGGAAGTTTAGGATTGCGGGTTTAGAGGATTTGGGAAGTGAAATCGAGGGCGCAGAGGGCTTATGATTTAATGATGGTGAAGCCTAGCAAGCTCGAACATGGATTTTCAAGGACTCGTGCTGGGATTTGTGTTTAGATTTTACCTTAAGGACATGAGGTTGATTTAGGCCCTAAATTTTCGGGTGTGTAGGATTTAGGGTGTGAAATTGCAGGCTTCTCAGGAGAACAAAAGTCCGAGGAACCCCGATGCTCACGCACTGGTCTGGGTTTCGGGGTTATAGCGGCTTACAAGGGTTTCTAGGCTGGCCGTTTAGGGCAGCTTCCCGCGGCGGGCCGCCATACACCGAAGTGCTTCCCCTCGCCCCTGACGGAGTAGGGGCCGGGAATCTCTGAGTATTTCCGCGCAAAATCATGCCAGCATGGCATCCAGAAGACTGGCTTTTCTGTTTTGGGGGTTCAGGGTTTTGGTTTTAATGTTCAGGGTTGTTTTTCTTTCTTTGGAGGGTTTCTTGAAGGGTTCTATGAGGGTTAGTGAAAGAATTCTAGAGGCCTTAAGTAAAGCTTCCGGGGTTGCAGGAACCTTCTCAGGGTTCCTGAAATTCGGGAATAGGAGCTATATCGGGTGAAGGCTTTAAGGCTCGAAGGATTGAGGTTGCCGATCTTTGGGCTTTGGGTTTGTGGTTCTTGATCTGGCGTTTGGGCTTTAGATTTATATCTGTCTTTGTAGCTTAGGGGCCTGGATTCTTGCAGTACGTTAAGGCTTGCTTTAGGATTCGGAGCATCGTTTGCAAGACAAGTTCTTGAGCAAGTGTGCCTGACATCGCTGAGCGCCCACACCCAAAACCAGTAATTCAGCTAGTAAACCAAGCGAGACACGCTACTTCAGCAAACCCTGAGCCATACATTCCTGCCT